ACAATATGAAAATAAACTCATGCAGTTTTTAGACAACAAGCTTTCATGCAAAATTATCGGTAATTTTGAAGCACTTGTGCAATTACCCCCGATAATTGCACAGTGTGCAATTATCACTTAACGATAATTGCATTGTTTACAAAAAATATTTGACAGGTGTCGTTTCATGTTGAATTAGACATCAAATGTCTTCCTGACATACCTAAGATATTCAAATTAAATTTAATAAACATAAGTAATAAAATTTAAAGGGTAATAAAATATAATAGAAATAAAATGAATCCACATTTACTTTGTTTACTCAGGATATATTCATCAAAATTACACTCGTGCATCAAAATAAACAGATAATTTTGCATTCGAGTTTGTTGTCTTGTAAAAACTACATTCGTTTATTTTCACATTGGAACCAATTTTCGCCACAATATGAAAATAAACTTATGCAGTTTTTAGAGAACAAGCTTTCATGCAAAATTATCGGTAATCTTGAAGCACTTGTGCAATTACCCCCGATAATAATAAAGTATTTTCTTGCCACCTTAAATTCTGACAAAATTTTCATCTGAAAAAAAAAACGGATTACGCGCAGAATTTAATGTTTTTAAAGAAACTAAAAGAACCTGAAAGAACTGCCTAATTCTCCTGGCACTGATGTTTGGAATGTAGCAGGGAGCGCAGAAGAATTGAAAAAACCAATAATCGTCAGTTAAAATACGAGATATTTGCCAAAAACTGAAACAGAAAATTGGCAGCGATGGCTTTGCACAATCTATCATGGGTTGCAGTCACATTTGCCTAGATTAACATAGACAAATCCATAAATCTATTGTATAGGCATACTCAGTAATTATATTCTCTACATTTATAGATTGCTGATAGTGAATCTCCCATGAGGAATTTCCTTTGCGAATATCCAGATTGTTCAGCTGTAAGTCGTAGTTTGATAGCGATATGGCTTCCGACTTAATTTTGCTTTACCGCATTATTTCTCCGTTTGCTTTGATTGCCGATTGTGTTGTGTCCTGAAATATTCGCAAAACTGTCAGATTTCTAATAAATATTTCGTTTATTTCCCCACTGAGCATACGGGGAGATCTTATAGAGTTTTGTGTTTTTTGATTTGCAGAGTTTCAACTCGAGAGCGGCCCTGAATGGTCACATCCGGATCCATGGTGGGACGGCACGAAACTCGCCTACGCCCACCGTTTCCGATAGACGAAACGCGACGTCGGCGTCGTTTTCGGTATCGACGACGATTTGTCATCCCGATTCCACCGACCAAGAGTACCCTTGTAAGATTTGCGGGAAGTAAGTTGTAACCGTCATAAAGCTCTAAAACAATCAGGTAAATGTTCGGTGTGTTGTTGCGTCCTCTGCTTACGTGCTAATACTATACGTTCCTTTCTCATTGTCAAACATCCAGTGAGCGGACCAAAGGTATCCTGTACTTTTTCTCTTTAGATGGATTAGCATTCGGTCATTTTCCAAATTACGTTCGGTTCGATTTGATATGAATCGATGTGATTGCTTCAGAAGAACAAAAAGGGTTACTAAGTTAAATATACTAATATGCCAAAACTTCAGCCAGAGGAACCGGGGCAATACGGGGTTTTTGTTTGCTTCCATACAAATTTTATGGTGTCCCAAGAATCGTGATGTAGCGTTTCTGGCGGTATACTTTGGAAAGGATCCAGAACGCATTTTTGACGTTTTTCCTTTATACAAGAAAATATAACTAAAAAGTATTGCCTATTTCATTTCATCAAATTTTTATCAAATTCACTTCATCAAACCACTGGCTATATGTTGAATGTTCAAATGTTAACTTTGAATGATAATCCTCTAAAATTTTAGTGTACTGTTGACTATTTTATGCTCAAAATCTCTAAGATCATGAAAAAAAGTGATTTTCGAAAAACGAAACGAAAACGAATGACTTATTTTCTCAATATTTTAAGTAACGGGACCGTAATTTCTTCAGAGGAGTTAGAACGCTTTAAACTTCCACGGGTCAAATCAACGTCGCTCCACAAAACTAAAGCTTGATGTGGAAAAGCTCGCTCAAAGTATGTTCTGAAATATGCCGATGGCTAATGAAACAATCGGTATCAAAAGGATTTACTATATTTGTCCTGATATTCCAGACAGCTTTAAATATCAGACTCGATTACGCAAGTATATAAATCAGTATTATCTTTGCACCCCACGTTTTGAGTATACGAATATTTGAAATAATCTTTGCGGACCATTTTCTAATATACAAGGTCTACTTTGATGTGGACAAGACGACCAAAAAACGAGATCCAAAAAGACACTTAGGTAATATAATAATAATAGGTCGAAAATTTTAAGTGTTTGGCAATCAACCAACCAATGCTGATCCGTCTATCTTTTTCCCCGAACATTTACAAAGGGGTACCTCAATGTCTCTAGATTTCTATTTACAGTTTCCCATAGTTACTTTCAAGCATGCAGTGTTATTATTTTTTATGCCCACTACCTTACTATCTTACTCTGTGCTACTGGAGTTTTTCGTTCGATCGTGGCCAGTGTACAGATTATACGCACGTCAGCACGTCACAACAAAATACTGAAAAAGATTGCCAAAAAATCACATTTTAATCCATCTAACTGATTTGAAGCTAAAAAAATTCGAGCACCTAATTTCGTATTTTCAAGAATTTGCAACAATATTAATCAATTAATATTTTTTTCAACAGTTATTCATTTAATAATTAGCATTTTTAAAAGAGATATATTGAAAACACAGAAGGATTTGATATACAGGGTATACATTTAACCAGTCCTCTCTAGCTTTATTTTTAACGAACTTTAACCTGATGGACACTTAAATTTATACCCTGTACTTGGGGCGAAATTCTAAAAAGTTTCAATGGACGGTGCAATTGATTTTTTCATTAATAGATAAATCAAACTCCACTACTAACTAACACGGCACTAGCTGCTTCTTTTCTCTTTCGGCTAGATTTAGCTACTCTATTCTTCAATTCTTACAAGAGTGTTGCGCTTAAATCGATATTGATTCATCAACTTAACTGGTCTTCTGAGGAAACCTTCAAGCACACATTTATTATGATATATTTCCAAGGACGGTTATTTTGGTAGTTAAACAACGTTTAAAGGGATCAGAAAACACCAACACCTTGAAAAAAAATCAGATGGGAAACAAATAGCGAACGGAAAATATGTCTTTAAGAAAAACAGCTGCATTTTTTGGTACTCTCAAGTACCCAAAAGGAAGGAGTACTGGAATAGCTCACTTTTTATATCCTCCATTTGATTCGGAGAATTTTGTGTGACTAAACTAAACAGAATTAAAAACCTGTAGTTTTTTAAATTTGTTTATTTCAAAATGATGACTGAATATCAGTCAGTCAATATTTTCCAAAAACTAATTATGTTATAATTTTTTAGTATTGTTTTTCCACATACAAAGGTGTGAATCTCAGGCAAAATAAACGATGTGGTCTTAAATTGACACTAAAATAAAGGTTTAATCGAATTAGTATTTGTTGTGAGGCATAATTGTATGAATGAATTCCTGAATACTCAATAAAGACCTTGGAGTGATACTATACACTTCATATTATTTTGATCAATTATAGAAACTTTGCAAACTATTTATTTAATGTGTGCCCAAGAAAAGTCACCAAGCGAAGTATTTTTGTAAAAAATAAGGTTCAAAATATCAAATCCCCTTCATGCATCCAAAATGACTTAAAATAATAATAGAAATTACGTTGTAAAGCGGAATGATTTCGGAATAATCGGACATCTTCAGGTCCTATGCTAAATACAAGGCAATAAACCTAAGAGACTCTTCAATTCAGCCTCAACAACATCGTTGGAAGTTTTTTTCAGTTTTTGCTCGATTTGATGCTGGACCGGCACAAAATTTATTGCAAATTTTAAAGCAGCCGAAAAATGGTAAAAGGGTATTTTTTTTTATATGAATGATTTTTCCATTCTCTATTGGTGTGCGGTCTAATATATAAGAACAGGGTCAGGGCTTTTTTCTGATTCCTTTTCGCTATTAGAGTTCCATGAATCACCCGGTGATCAATCGAATTAAAGATCAGAAAGCAATTTTTAAAGCGCATAAAACCAATACGAACTTCTCAGAAACCTCGTAATGAAAGTGTTACCTCAGAACCAGCTTAAGATGTGAAACTGAGCAAGTCATTCTAATCATTTTTGCATTTACTTTGTTAATTTAGAGTGTTTTCAAAAATCAAGAGCCGTAGCGCCCATATGAAGTCGCATAGGCCGCCCGACGCCGAACCCTCAAAGCGTCGCAATAGTGAACTTAAAGAGCATAGAGAACATAAGGAATCCAAGGACCTTTCTTCAAGCTATGAACCTTCCGTGCCAAGCCCTTTTAGTTTGTAGTACTTTCATTGTAACTAGTTTAGAATTCAAATTACTAAATGGCTCAGTTGACGCAGATGACCAAGCACGGACTTCTTGAATATGTGTGGACGTCTGAATCAACGTGAGAATTGTAAGGAAATCAAAACATGGTCACGGGCAATCAAAATAAAGCAACAAAATGAGTCAGATCGAAACAAAACACTGCACGATTTTATAAAAAAGACATATTAATTTAGCGAGATTAAAATCTTAGGGTATTAAAAAAGGTAACAAATATAGATAGTATAGAATTGTATAAAACTCAATCCATAGACTACAGAGATTTATATTTAATATTTATTGGGGTTGTGTTACGTTACGTAAAGGCGTAACGTTAGTGCCTTTCCGACTGTCGAGTGAGACACGAACATTAACAGTAGAGCACTCAAGTCACGTTCAGAAAGATTTTTGGATTAAATTCTTCAGGTGCTCGCTATTGGTTTTTGTAATGCGACTTTATCAATGTAAATCAGCAAAATTCGATGATTTGCAGGGGTTATTTTTCAATGGTCATCCTACAAGAACCAAATGGCTTAATAAAAATGAGCAATAAGATCTGAACTCACGTTGTATTATTCAAATATCAAAAGAAAAACAAACAAATGGCCATAGATATTATTTACGAACTATACGTATTTGATGGTACGGAGATGATCGCTTGTCCGGGACTGTCTATTTACTGTGTTTGTTGTGTTGGCATATCTACTCAAAACATGGATTTAAATAAATACATACACAAAATATTCACATATGAAGTATACATACATATGACACATAATGGATGTGCTTCTTTAGAAGTTTCTATTACTATCAGTCGCAGACAAGTGCGCCCAGGACCGGTTCTGAACCTATTAGTCCTCATCAACTGGATGAACACTAATAGGTCCGAAACCGGTCCTGGGAGCACTTGCTTGTATCATAGCGAAAATCCTATTTGTGCATTTACGACTGAGTAATGAGTTAAAAAAGTTTCAAATCCAAGTAAAGTTGTTATGCATTAAAAACAAACGTATCCCGGTTCGAGTAGATATGCAATGCAACGGCAAATATTAACTTAGAATGTTCGAGGAATTGCTCAAAATCCGATGTTGTGTCTCTACAGCTTCCCTTTTAGATGTACCATAAGTATTAGCAATGAACTACTCATAAGCTCAGATAAGATGTATTTTAATAACAAAACGGTACTAAGTATTGTGTATGACTTCACCTTATTATAACTAGTAATGTCTTTCGTTCACAGTATGGATGCTAAAGAATCATGTTTTATAAAGAATGAAAACTATGTAAGGAAAATGGGCGTATTTCAAAGATAAAGAAATTGGTAAAAGTAAAAGTATTTGAAGTTGATTAAAAGATCCGTATGTGCAAAAAATTCCCATAGGATCTGATTAGCATTCACTAGACATATTATAAGCAACAGTTTTGATTGGTGATTCAACGCATATAAACCCAAGAACTAGTTACATGGTGTTAAAGAATGAATGTGGTTTCAGTGTATCGTATGTGCCATAAACTGGACAATAACCCGGACAAGCGAAAAGTTTCGTAATTTTTTACTCAAAAGAAGGTGCCACCCTTCAAAAGGCTTGGTACCACTTTAACTCTGTGTTGTGATCTTTTTAAAGTCTATTACTATGAATCTATATCTACATTAATACTTATTGATTAAAAATATTTGTATATGTTATTACTGTATGTATATTAGAGTATTTTATATAGAGGCCTACGTTATCCGAAAGTAAGGAATTCATTGAACTCTCCATTTCCCAAAAACAAAATGACAATCTACGTGAAACGTAATCACCACATTTTTAATATCGGTGTTTTCAAGGTACAGTCTTAGCGACTGTTACGCATATACATAGGTTGTAAGCAGCTTAATTATGTAGGATGCTATTGCTGAATGTTTCATCAATACGCGCGAACCCTGAATTATTCTATTCTGTAATTCTATGAACAATAACCCATTTTTGGGGCATGTTTTTATAGAATTACCAAGGCTTGTTTGCTATGTACAATGGGACAACTAATGGGTTTCGGTTTTTAACTTAACACACTTTTGCAGAAAGGAAGTAATGCTTCAGTCACTTGAAAAAATGATCAATCCGTTGGCTGTCCAGTTTTTAATGTTAAATCGATGTCGCTTGTCCTTTACTTAGGAGTAACGCAGGCCGCCAGACTGAGCCAAACGATAGTAGTCTAGGTTATCAGGTGCTCAGACCTATCAATTAATTGTTGTTAATCAATGTACCTCTGAGAACTGACGGCCATTTTGTTGTTCATATTTATCTATTGGTAGCACTCAAAACGATTGTTGATTGATATTATTCGCACAGCCTCCATAACGTATGCAGGATTGCCGGTAAGAGCAGCAGTGAAGCGCAGATGATACTAATATCATTAAGCACTCCTTAACTTATTATTTACTGTTGATATTTATAGTTAACCAGTCTAGATTTACGCAGTTATAATCGTTATTTTCTTGCATTGAAAAGTACAAATACTAGACAATTATCAAGTCGAGCATTTTCGGTTCGAATATTTTTGATTTTTTTAATAAAACCCAAATTTCGCCCACGCACAGATTTATTTTGCTTAACAAAATTGTGACTTGTCTTTGTCTCAATATTTAAATAAAGGATTTTGTATAGTCGCAAGTCATAAAGGGATAGGCACATTAGTATTAATAATATAACGGCAATATTAGTTGAGAACACGGTAATCCGCCATGAAATTGCACAATTCTGTGAGCAAAAATTAGAGAACAAGTTCTTGTAAACAAAGTGCAAAATGTTAATTTAAAAGTAGAATGTGTTCAAATACATTCGAAAGCATTCGAATGCTTATCCAATCGTAACTCACAATCTCAAAGTAACTCGAAAACGATAACAGATATGGAAACAATGCAAAACGTAAAAGTTTCCAAATTTAATGAATAATTCAAACATTTGAGAGTAACATGATAGTGATAGTAAACCTTGGAAATATACATCCTCTAGATTGTCGCAACCATTTGGATAAGGATGCATAATGAACCTTCAATTAATTTCGTTCAAAAAAATTGAAATAAATATCTCATAAGCTGTAGATAAAAACATTTAACAGTTTGCATCTGGTAAACTAAAATTTGGTAAACTGGCTTATGTTTGCTCGTAGACTATTCAATAAAAACTGTGAAGCCTGATTTTGGATCACCCTGCATAATTCTTACAAGGAAAAATATGAAATATCAATTTCAGATTAATAATAATAATGACTTTGAATAACAATAATTAGCATTGAAAATGAGTTGCTCTTACCCCAATCTGCCTAAAACGCAATCAAATATTAAGAGTTAAGTGATAAATTATTGATAGCATAAAAGATTGCTGAGATTGAAAATAAATTCACACTTAAAGATATTAATTTAGTTAAATTCTAATGATCTTCGCATCTCAACTTCTACAACTGAATAAAATTCACTTTTGATACCAACGAGTAACGAAACATTTAGGCAAATCAGCTGTTAAATATAAATTTATACATTAAAAATGTTTTTTGTATATTATGTAAGTATGCAATACCTCGGCTGCCAAATGCATCGCAAATTATATTTTATACTCCAATTAATGATCAGTGCGTGCAAATTCAAATCACTTTATTTGAAAGCGATCGCTACTTTGAAGCTTAATATCATATCACTTCACCTAAAAGAGTTACTAGAAACATTAAACGAACGTCCAATCCCGTACAATGAACAGAATCTATAATATGAAGAGACTACGATAGGATGGCTACATTTAAATAAATAAAATTTAATATAAGATTCTCTAATATTAAAAACTATCTATTTGTACATAAGAATTTTTAACTTACTCATTTATACAAGCATAATCCCTAAATTCATAGTTTAGATAATACAGATTGAAAGATTTTTAAGTTTTTTATAACGAGGTTTCTACACGGCCTAAGGATCTATTTAATCGAAAAATTAAACGAAACACCTGTAGAATGTATGTGATAAGAGTTGTATGTGTATATGTGAAAATGTCCGTCAGATTCTTTAGCTAATTGTTTAAACTATGGGTTATTGTATGTCACTTGGCACTATAATGTTTACCGTATACGCACCATTGCTTTCTTCTCATTCGTCGCTTGAAGAAATATTTTTTTAACGATTGAAATAATATACTCCAATAAAAATTGGTCTGTGATCGTATTATTTCAGATAAAGTTTACTCAATAACAGGCTGAATTTTTCAAATGCTTTTAAACGGCCTTTTCCTTGATGCTCAAGGCTTTGAAATAGAAGAAGCATACCGAATAAAATGCACTAATTCCAAGAGGTGTAATTGGAAAAACACTGATTTTCGATTTGCCGGTAAATCCGAAAATATTAATCTTTCTGCACCTTTAGACTTCTTGGATTTTTGCATACGGCAATAAAATGTTGTTCCTCCGATTAATTGCTTATCAAATTCCCCCATAGTAAAATTTGTTGCTTACTATTATTCGAGCTTGACAATTTGCTATAGTAATGTCATCGTAATTCTTCAATATCCATAAATGAGTTTTTACATTACCCGTACCTCAATATACCTAGTAAAATGTGTTTCCACTCATTTCCTAATACATGTGCCAAAACCTCGAAACGTAGAGCTTATAATCGATAGTGTCATGTAACATATTGATAGTAATATTCATTGCTTTGTATATTTGTATATAAGCTAATATTAGTGTTCTTGTTAAACCGTTAATAGAATATTATTTATTAAATCAATTATTTATAGCTTAATTTCTTTAAATTAATGTTAGTTCGGCTTTGTTGACGCTAATTTTAAGACCTTGCCATACCGCTGCCAAATCTTGATGTTGCTAAGAGGAAACGGTAGTAATAGAGTAAAGTGTTTTTAGTCATAAACGAGGGCATTTATCCGATAAAAGTTGTAAAAATCAGAAATATTGCCTTATATTTTCAACAAACAACTGGCGCACGTCCCTAAAAAAACCAATGTAAAAATCAATTTTTAAAATTCACCATAACATGCACATATAACGCTCAAGTTTTCAAGTAAAAGGAGAATTTAATTGTATCTAAAAAAACTCAATTAAAGCTGGTGAATTTTTCAGGTTTCTAAGACTATCTTTCTTAAGACCAAGCCATGCTTGCGAAACGTTTGGAAAAAATTACCAATTTCAAGGAATCAGTTCTTGCATAGAAAAACCATCAGCTCCCTGCTTAAAACTTATTCAACAATATACTTACATATAAATTTTTGTTAATAAAAAAAAACGAAGGTTTTGATTACGTTTATAGACCGGAGCAAAAGTGGACATTTTTAAAATAATGTAATAAATACAAGCATGCCTATTTCTGATTTTTACATTGTCGTTCATAAGCTCTTGCAATTTCTGTTTTCTTCTCAGCCATTTGACTAAAAATGCCGTTTCCCGTCTGTACCTGACGTTCAAACATTGTTTTAGTTTAGGTGAAAGACTACTGTTTTGTTCGTTAAAACCTACTTTCCTCAAGAACACCCTGTTATTTAGTAATTTAGGAAATCTGTGTGGTTTACTTAGGATACATTTGTGGATTAAATGTCTCAATAAGAAAATGTGCTCATTTTATATCAAAAGTAATATATGTACTAAAATCTTTCAATAAATGTCAATATGAATGTAGCTCAACTTTCTATATTTTTGTTTTTATATATTATAATAAAATTCTTACGATCTGTAGGTTAAAAAAGACATGTTTGGTGTCAGAAAGAAAGAGTGTGTTCAAATTGTGGAATCTATTGCATTTAAAATGAATGAACCGTGCATTTCCGAATAGAAAACAAAACGTTACGATTTCGCACTTAATATACACATACAATGAGTCATAAACAATTTAAAACAGCTCATTATAAATGCAATACAAAAACAAAAAATCTCTAGAACTTTGCTCGTTGTTTTTATATTAGTAATTAGAGTTGTTTTCACATTTTCGTTAAATAAAAATGATTGTTTTTGTTGATCTATAAGCATTCGTTGTTAAATTCTGTCCAAAAATTTCCAAATATATGTTTAAGAAAGTGCGTATGTATATATACTTGTATGCACAATAAAATGGCGTTGTAAAAAAACTTTATTTTATTTCAAAGTAGAGACCGAAACGTTGGAAATGTCCACTAAAAAAAAAACCCTCTATTCGAAGAAAAAATGTATAAAATAGTTTCCGGTTGTTGTCCCTTTTTTGTATTCTTCCAAGCAAACAAGGCCAAAATCGCAAGCAGATAATGTCAATTGGGGATTGTCCTCCATATTTTGCTTGATAGTATTAGCTAATCATACGACTTGAATTCAAATGATTTGATTTTAATAATCTTATACGATACTTTTGCTTTCAAGTCATTAATTATGGCAAATTAGTAAGAGAAATATTCAAGTAATATTTCCGAAAAAACATAAATAGGGATATGTTTCCTCTAGAAACCCATTAATATTGGTTTAAGCAAACAAAAAACATTTAAAAAATATTTATTGTAGTCAGCAAATCAAAATTAATATTTGTACTGTTAACTTACGCTTCACATTAGTCTTTGTCCACTTGAGCGGCCTTTAAGCTGGTTACAGCCATCTGCATTGCTCCTTCTTTCGTCTTATTACCCCCGATGAAACCCGAAGAGTGACAAAACATACATTCTTTGATGTTAGATATTTTACTGAGATCTTCATCGCGCAAACCTCTCCAGTCTTTGTGGAGAAACACACTGGAAACAGAAAGAAAACGATTTATTAAAAAAAAAAAACAAGCCCTATTGGAATGCACTAATAGTAATTCAATTCGCCTTCATTAAACTTCGATTGTTTTCGTGTTCGATGGGTTTTCACGATAATTATAAATATAATAATTGCTATACAAACTAACTAAATAAGCACGTACATTGTTCTTTAAAATATCAATCTATCACAAAAAAACGCGATAAAAATTGAAGTACACCCGATCAAAACGCAAAACTATACTAAAATGTTTACATTATAACAACGCAATAGTAAAAAAAACCGATCAAAATCGGATGTTTATCGTTTCCTGAATATTGTTTACGTATCGGCATTCTTTGGACAGGAACTTCGTAAATACATACAATACTGATAAATGAATATTTCTTTTCTATGAACAATGACGCAGAGCACAATTGCAAAAACTTACCGGCAAATAAAACTGTCGGGTTGAACTGGAATGCCCTGCACTCTCCAATCATCTCTCTGATCATGAAAGATGCAGAACTTTATTTGGCCTACAATATTCATTTCTTCTTCCAAGCTATAGAGATGCTCTTTCCAGGAACATCTATCATTAAACACAATTATTTCACCAGATTCGTGTTCTTGTTTCCTATTCCTAATTGATCTCTCTACGATTTCACGAGCGGGCCACCAAACGTTAACAGTCTAAAAGATGACCAACTACGATTATCTACAAGTCTATTGAGGGTGTAACTTTGGAAAGTAAGTATTATTATTTTAAAAACTACCATACTTGCTTTTGCGAAAAATGTTTATACAAAGTAATGGATTAAAATTCGGAGTAAACAAATGTTAATTCATTGTTCAGTTTAGAAACTTTCCGGTTTTCTTTCCTCGGCAGGTTGCCTTTTTGGTTTCTGAAATAGTATTCGATGTGCTTGAAATGCCCGAAGTTGGTCGCTTACGACACATATTTGAGCGCTGCTAAATACATATACACTTTTCTAACAGTTATTTTTTTGACTAAACATTGAATCACTCTGTAAAATGAATTTGAATCGAGCCAAGTTTTGCAAGTTACCAAAGGCATTGAATTTGGTAAACTTTTGTGCTACGTTCATGAAAAATCAAAAAATTAGTACCGGAAAAAGTAAAGTGCTTGTAAAGCGAACATTACTTTCAGAAAACTGGAAACTTGACGAAAAGCTCCCTAACATTTGAAAGCCCAGATTTGAAAACAACTAATCTTCAATGTTAAAAATGAAAAATACTTTCCATCAACAAAAATCATTTTTTTAAATATGCACAAATCGTCTCGCCCCTCTTTATACATATGTAAGACGACTTACTTCTAAAACCCTTTCTGTAAATTCGCCTCCGACTAATTCCATAGCTTTTCCAAATAAAACGTCGATATTCTTCGGACTGGTATCATTCCAAGCAGGATTTAACCTATGAACTCTTGCGCCTAAATGGGTGTTTATTTTATACTTTGGCATTCCTTCCGGATACATTGGGATTCCATTGTCTATCGCATCCAATTCCTCTATAAACCCTTCATATAAATGAACAAACAATATACTTAAACATTCACTGCTGACGGTTTTGTTGGATTTTTTGATAATTTCCAATAAAACTTCCAAACCGAAATGAGCATAAATCAGGCCTGCTGAGCTTAACCTGGAAGAGATCTGAAGTTGTTATTTGGAAGATAGATCAAGAAAGATACACACCTTATGCTGTTGAACTTGTTTTTAACCAGATCTGGACGTACCGAGTTTAGAGTTTCGGTAAAAGTTCTTTGGTGATGGTCAAATCTGTTCAGTTTTGGATCATAAATGGAACCCACATCAACCACAATATCACACTGGTCCAGAAGCTGTAATTGTTTAGAAAAGGCTTCATGTATCAATTTTACACTGTTATTAGCAACTATTCACAGAAAATTTGTTTATTCTTAATATTATTCATATGTTTGATTTTAGTTTCGCAATTATCTTGATATTCTAGTCTAGATAAACAATACCATAAGTATTCAACTTTCTAGTTACCACGGAAAATACAAAAATTCTAAATTAAAGCGTTGAAATAAAACAATCTGAGTTGTTGGATCAAGCATCATGCAAAGCTCTAGTTGTCATTACGGGATAGAGCCTTAAATTTACACAATTTAAAGGTACGGTAAACATTAAATTATAGATAATTAAATCATTTAAACACTGAGTTTTATAATACTCAGGGAATTTCAAACTGATTAACGTGAGGGCAAATTTGGAAAATATAATCAAATGAGCGGTTCACATTTCATGTTCCAGGACCGCAAGTTCTTGAGTCAAAAAAATTAATTTTAAATTTTCAGAAGACAAAATCTTCTTAATTTTGTACTTTTCCTGTAAAAGACTTTTCTTTTGAAGATTGCCGAAAACTATTGAGAAAAACTGAAGTCTTATGCATCTTAGCGACTATTTTGCACGTAAAGTTATGAATTTCTGATTTAGCTGCAATTAGCACCAGACAGTCTCATTTTCGTGTATAATTAAATGGTTTTGGGAAAGCGATTTCATAAGTTTGTACCTAAGTGTTTCTTAACTTAATTTATCGGCCATCCAGGCTCTTTTCCCGCTGAAACTGTTTAATATAAAGTGCTCTTTAAGGCAGACCAAAAACCGACAAAAACGGAGGGACTCAAACGACATGTTTAGCCAAACTCTTTATCCAGCTATGATAATGCTGCTGCAATAACTTACCTTCATATCTCTCGTTCTAACAATCTCAGCATCTGAATACTCGGGAAGGAGCCTCAACATAAAGCATGCCAATGCTTCATCGCAGTGAAACACGCCGTTATGGGTGCCGATTTTCCTATTTAGCTTCAAATTCTTGTTATTGGAAGCCATAATGTTGAATCTAAGGCAAAGGCATTAATTATAAAAGCCCTGATTTACTTGTTCGGTACTGAACACTTTGTGTCTATTAGTTATTATTTAGTTCTTACCCTGTCCAAACTCCTCTCACAAAAGACCCAGATTGCTGAAGAATTTGGCGGCCTAGATTGAAGAAATGTTCCATTCTCTAACCCTAGATTTAGCCGATCTTCTTCCACCTTCCACAGTTTGTTCGTTAATTTTGACACAGCCCAACCTCACTTTCTTTTATTTTTTATGCCAACTTTAAAATTCCGCTTTATGTTTATCGGGTGGTGGTTCTTTCATACAAATATTCGTTTCTTCTAAATTTCTAAATATCGTGCACATATGGAAGAAGGTCATTATTTTGTTTCATTTCGTACCGACAATTTGTTTATACATAAATCAGCAAACGCTTCGGCTTAGCCCTAAGAAGTACTAATATTTTGATGTTTTAATGTTCTGGTTTGTGATTTCCCAATTTTCAGATACGTAAATTGTTTTGCTGCTAACAGCCTAAGCCGGGGGATTTACATTACTGGAACTGTGATGAGACTGTACAGGGTGATTTCTTTCAGGTGCCTTGCGCGTTTTTTTCCTTTCATTTTTTTACGGTGCAATGGAAACAATGCAATAAAATATAAGTTTTTAAATAGTTATTCATCGATGTTTAAAGTCTCTTAATTTATTTTGTTTTCCGTCCGAAAATAATCCTTGGACTTTCATTATCGTACAGTAATGTTCTGCCTACCTGTAAAGACCATTTTTAGCGTTCGCCTATACATACTTGCGAGTGTACATACAGGGTGTCCCGTAAACACATTTTTTGACTCAAAAGAAGGTGATCTGACCTAACTTTTATTAAGGCATAAGGTCTGGATCCTCTGCTATTGATGGCCAAAATTCTTTAAAAATTCAGTTTTTGAAATATCGAGATAATGACACGATGGATTTTAAGGAATCCTGCTGTAAAATGGTTCTTATGTACGACTCATTTTTTGATAAAACAAGCACTTTGTACAACTGGTAAATTCTAGAGTCTTGGACAAAAACTGAATGAAACTGAGAAAATCAGAATTCAACTTTTTATTTGGTTGCTGTGGAATCAACCGATTTTTTTAGTTCTGCAAAAGGTGATTCTTACATAAGAATAAATGTACAGCGAGTTTTATTAAAATCCGTCGTAATTATCATTTTCCGAAAATTTGAAAAAATGTGTCCCTCAATAGCCCAGAAATCAGATATATTTTTAATAGACGTTAGATCAGATTGGCTTCATTTATACAGGGTTATTCACGCTATACGGCACGGAAGTTTCCGGCTAAACCGTTTGATTTTTTAAAAGTATTATTTTATGAATTGTCCGACGCCTACCGAGCGCACATTTTAAAAATATTTTTGTAATGTACAGAGTGTTCCAAAAGCTCTAAAGTATCTGTATATTATTGCATTTGTGGATTCGCTGAACAAAATAAGTGTTAGTTTTAATAAGGTTTATAATACCTAAATCTTAAGGTTTTTTAAATAATACGAATTTAATCAAAATCTAATCTAATTTTCACGTGTCAAATACTTTAGAATTATTTAAGTTATGTAAACGTAATTCGTAGTGTAGTGTAACAAAAAATCATATTTTATATCCCAATGATAATAAACTTACCATTTTATACAGGGTGTCCACAAATTTAAACTAATCAAATAAGAACTTTAAGTGGCTATAACTTGACTAACTAATTTAAATACAACCCCATATTTTTTAGCTTGCCAGGAAATGCAATTTTTGATTACCTATCGAATGGTACTAGGATGTTGATAACTAAGTTTTTGCCTTTTTACAAAATACACCAAATAATGGATCTGTGGACCATTTGGTGTTTTTTTAAATTAAAAGGTTAAATAACATATCAACAATAACATAAAACAAAGGCTACAGTACTAACATTACTAACATTAGTCAATCAAGTATTTCCAGAATTATCAAAAAGCACCACTTTTATCCAAATTCAGCTTTGCCAAGAACTTTATGCAAATGATTTTGGAAACCGAACTGAGTTTTGCATGTGGGTGTTAGATAAAGTGGCAGAAAATGAAAAGTTTTTCGAAAATGTGTTATTTAGTGATGAATGTACTTTTCAAAACAATGGTCACGTGAACGTGACCACACAATGAAAGTTGTGTCTAACAACTTTCATTATTATTCTGATACGAATCCGCGCGCATACAGGGTCATGAAAAATCGAAATAGGTGGTCATTTAATGTGTGGGGTGGAATACTGGGCCAATATTTAATTGGATCCTATTTTTTTGAAGGACATCTAGATGGTTTGATGTTTCTCCAGTTTCTAATAAACCATCTCTCAATATTATTAAAAGAGGTCCCTTTCAATATTAGAACCAACATGTGGCTTCAATTGCATGGAGCTCCGCCGCATGATCACTGCGAAGTTCGGCAATTTTTAAATGTCAACTTTGAAAACAGGTGGATTGGCAGAAATGGGTTTCAAAATTGGCGCCGAAGATCTCCGGACTTAACTCCACTAGATTTCTTTTTGTGAGGGTACATAAAAGGAATTGTCTACCATACGCTTCCGACAACTTCACACGATTTGAAAACAGGCATAAGAGAGGCTTTTAAAACTGTAACACCGCAAATGTTGTTCAGAGTTAGCAGTGGTTTTGAAAAAAGAATTTACAGAAAAGTGCCTGGAAATGGACGGTCAACATTTCGAACATTCGTTATAAATAATTTGCCTTTGTTTTATGTTATTGTTGATATGTTATTTAACCTTTTAATTTAAAAAAACACCAAATGGTCCACAGATCCATTATTTGGTGTATTTTGTAAAAAGGCAAAAACTTAGTTATCAACATCCTAGTACCATTCGATAGGTAATCAAAAATTGCATTTCCTGGCAAGCTAAAAAATATGGGGTTGTATTTAAATTAGTTAGTCAAGTTATAGCCACTTAAAGTTCTTATTTGATTAGTTTAAATTTGTGGACACCCTGTATAAAATGGTAAGTTTATTATCATTGGGATATAAAATATGATTTTTTGTTACACTACACTACGAATTACGTTTACATAACTTAAATAATTCTAAAGTATTTGACACATGAAAATAATATTAGATTTTGATAACATTCGAATTATTTAAAAAACCTTTAGATTGAGACATTATAAATTTTATTAAAACAAACACTTATTTTGCTCAGAGAATCCAAAAATGAAATAACATATAGGGGATTTCATTTAGAAAAACACAACTTTGATACTTTTAGGGCTTTTGGGACACTCTGTACATTACAAAAATATTTTTAAATGTGCACCCGATAGGCGTCTGAGAATTCATCAAATAATACTTTGCAAAAAACAAACGGGCTAGTCGGAAACGTCCGTGGCGTATAGCGTGAATAATAGATGTATAATAGATGTTTTTGTGTTTGACGTGATGACAAAAGATTTAGACATTTTTTGAGGGCAATCAATGTGATATTGCCACAAATTTTCCATAAATTGCAAAAAAACTCCAAAATAATCTTAATTTTTCTTTAGGAATATGTATATTACAAATAAATGCTAAACTAATATAAACACTATTTCTCATATATGTTTGCATTTAAGGCACAATAACAACGTGTGTACATTTTATTAATACAATCAATTTATATTTCCTATGTAGAATATCTAAAATAAATATGATATTTACAATATTACAATCAACAGCTTTTTACAAAATCTATAGATACACCATATGAATAATGGTCAAACGTGCTAAAAACTTTCCTTTCTAAAAATGTAACCGTACTGGTTACATTTGACTCTCAAAATCCTGCCAAGCTGCGGCGGTCCACAGTAGAAAACCGTAACTTTGCCCTTTTTCTGATCTGATATTTGTTTGAAAACTTTATCCCAATTAGGCCTGCCTGCGTTCGTTCGGGTTTTCAGTCCAGTTATCAGATCTCGCTTTTCCTAAACAAAAAAGAATAAATTTGCATTAGTATCGGTTTGGAAGGTTTTCAGTTTTACAGACCTTTTCGTGCAATAAATCCAGAGCCAGTTGAAGCCCCACAGCTTTCATATCGGTCTTCTGTAAGGCACTGGTAATATACATGTGCATTTCCAAAAATCGTTCCATGGCACCTCCCAATTCAGCCTGCTCAATCTCAAGCTGCGATAGCAGATTTACAAACCACTCGAAAGACCGCTGGTTTCGGTTGATCCAGAAGAAATCCACCTTAAAAGAATGGCAATTATTTGCCAAAAACCCTGTAGACTGTTCCAAATTGTTACCTTTCTCAAGTTCATTACAGTAGCTGGAATATCACAAGCCCATGAAAACTTGCATTTAGGGCAGGTGTGTCGCGCTTTCCAATATCTGTGCATAATCGACTGTAAAATTGAGGCAAATGGAGTAACTCCAATTCCGGTTGCAATAAGCACTGCGTGTTGAGCGCGGAAAATGTGACTAGAGGGTGCCCCATAAGGTCCATCTAGGAAAATCTAAGGGAATGGAAATTAGTGTCTAGTTTTGCTAGCAAATGTTTACGATAAAATTAGTTAAGGGAGGTGGCAGCAGATATTTAGCTAATAAATATATGGATATGTTTAATACACATCAAACAATAGTTATATTGTCTTGTTTAGACAATACTTTTAAGGATATTGGTGTGATGTTCTTCGTCTAGAGTAAATTATCCAAACTTTAATAGAGCGCTCATATAAGGTCGATTAGTTATTCACCAAAGTATCTTTTAATCAATTTTGGCAAAATAGTGGACATGGAAAGCAACAAAAATTCGTAAAATATCACACTCACAAAGGCACTAGTTGGGTAACGCAAAGCATTTTTTAATGAAACATAATTATGAATAATTTGTATTAGTAGTCAAACGCAACAAACACGCTGATGCAAGTATATTCACCTCAGTACCGATTTGGTTCGAGTATTTTACTTTGATATCTGTGGCAAACTTGGCCTGGCTCCTAGAGCGCACCAGACAATCATTAAGGTGTTTCGCCTATTTGCAATTGTATATGAGTAACTACGAAGTACCTACTTAAGCACACTAAACTTAGATCTGTACTTACCTCCATCGGTTTCCCAACCGGATAGTTAATGTGTTTCAATTTCGGATCAGCGGCTGTAATATCGTGAAGTTGAAACGAATGGCCTTCCTCTGCACTTCTTTCCGGACTGTAGTATCTAAAAGGACTGCTGTGGCCAACTAAAGAAAAAGTTTCATTTTTTAAGTAGATGAATAATGATAGTGGTGCAACATACCTACGGAGGACGCGAAAGAGTTACTAGAGTCCCTCTTGTCACAGTTCTCCAAACTGGGGGTTTTAAAGGCGATGATAGTGGGTTTGTTTCTCATGTACCTAAAGCTCTGCGCTAAGCTTTTGTTCTGAGGGCTCAGATAAGCCAGACCTAAGGATTTCATTCTTGCCTTCCGCATTTGGCATTGATCAAAACTCTTTTCTGACTCGGAGCGCATATATTCTCTTAATCTACAACATAAAGGAAAGTGAAACATTTAGATTTCCTGGATTGATAAGTTTAGATTTTCTAAGTTGAGTTAACTTACGAATCAAAACTTAATGTATGGCTCATATTTAGAGAACCAGTGGAGATATAAAGGTCTAGATTTACTGCCAGATAGAGCATCGGGCGCACGTTTTTATATGAAACATAATTTTAAAAATGTTTCTAGTTTCTTCCAAAACTGCAAAAATTTGAAGTTAGCGCGGGTCGTAAAAACAGCTATTAGCTTTTGACTCATATTTTGAGAACCAGTTGCGTTGTGAAGCTGTAGAGATAGGACTTAAAATTGCGCACTTTTTTATATGGAATATTATTGTAGGAATGTCTCCAGTTTATACGCAAAATGCAAAAAGTCGAAATTAACTAGGTTAAATTAATGATATTTAGAGAGCTAGTTGGGATCTAAAGCTGTAGCTGTCTACGCAAAATGCAAACATTGGAAATTAACGCGGGTCTTGAGAACAGCTCTTAGTCTTTGGCTGATATTTACAGAACTGGTGGAGCTGAAAAGCTCTAGTTGTCTCTGCGGATAGAGTGTTAAACTGCTCACTTTTTATATTAATTTTAGGAATGGTTCTAGTTTTTAAGAAAAATGCAAAAATTGGAAATTAATGTGGGTCTTGAAACCCGCTCTTAGTCTTAGGCTCGTACTAACTCTAACCAAGTGAGCTATAAAGCTCTAGTTGTAAATAAAAACGTATATTAGAGTTGAGAAGAATAAGATAAAATCATCGCATCTACGAAACAAATTCAGGGGGCAAGAAAGTTTTCAAACGAGAGATAGAAAGCCAATTTTCATCAAATAAGATGCACTGTGATTTTCTGCAAATATGTTTAACAATAAAAAAAACATGCCACAACGCCCCAAAAAAAGTTCGAGCTGTATATTTTGTTTTTCCCAATTTGCATTTCTAACAGTCGACATCCTAAAAAATCGATATTGCAAAATCCGGATAAACCTCTAAACATTGCATAAAGTATGACGAAAAAGCACCAACCAAATCTAATCTAAGTGGCGACTACTGTGTAGTTTCGTTAGGCAGCATTTCCCAAATTTACGTTCTTATGAACAGATGCCTGAATAATTCACAGACACGCAGAATCAAGAGAAAATGTTAAATAATCCGGAAAAACTTACGCTAACATTCGCTCACGCTTCTTTGCATTATTTTGAACATCTGGTAGAGACAACGACTTTTCTAAAGGAGCTCTTTTGGCAAAAACCAATCGCTGCAAACGGTTTTCTGGAGACATCTTCCTCGGCTTGTTCGGTAAATCTAAATAGAACATTACTTTTAAATAATACAAAATATACTATGTAATCAGACTAGGAAGGCTTTCACGGCCGGTCAAATCACATTTAGGAATGTTTTCCGGGCCTTGAAGCCGTGGTCCATGGGAACCTCTTCCTGACGTTTTGTCCACAACTGCGGTGGACATTATCAAAGGCGATGAGGCAGTGTGCGAAGTGATCTCCAGTGCTTACCGACTAAGACTGGTTCAACTACCGTGACTTGATGTTTTTGATGACGTAGCCATTCAAGGCTTTTTGTCTTTACTGCAGGCCTGCAAGAGCCTTGGTGGGTTAGGGGTGTAGGTTTCGGGAGTTTGTGGGACTAAGAGCGAAGAGTAGTAGTATGAAACGAACGAAAGAAAAAAAAAGTAAGAGAACGAGACGAGAAAAGTAGTGGTTTGTGGCGTTTGGTTTTAAACTTGGAAGAGTTTGAGAGTTTAGGTGCTTTCCAGGAGGTTTGATATGTCGGCTGCTTTAGGCGGGTGATTCCAGTGGGGGTCTGCCATTAGACTTGTCGGCGTTAAGTAGCGTGGGTTCGGGATAGTTTGGGAAAACGTGTCTTTAATTAGTTGGTTTGGGTGGTTAAGGACGCGAGTTTTGAACTTTTCGTGGAGCTTTGAGACGAATTGTTGCACGGTTTCGATTTGAAGGTTCGCGTGAATTTGTGAGTTGCAGACGTACCAGGGGGGCTTGTCGTCCTGCGGAGGATTTTGTTTAGGAAGATTTGGAGTTTGCCTATGGTTTTTTTGGAGGTTTGGCTAATGATGGGGGCAGCATAGCATATTTGCGACCTGATTACTTGCTTGTAGAGCAGAGTTTTGTTTTTCAGAGTGAGCTTGCTTTTCTGGTATAAGAGAGGGTAAAAGATGCCGGCGGTTTGGCTTCCTTTGGTGATTATTTTGTTAATGTGCTCGACAAAGTTTAGTCTAGAATCGATGATAACGCCAAGATATTTGAGAGATTTAGAAAGTGGGATTTCGGTGTTGTTGAGCATTAGTTTGGGTGTGTTAGTGGGAGGTCTTTGTTTCGAAATTATCATGGCTTTGGTTCTTTCTGCATTAATTTTGATTTTCCAGGTGTCAGCCCACTCTTGAAAAATATTTAAGTGCCGTTGAAGAGGGCCAATTAAGTATTTAATATTCCGGTTGGAATAGTAAAAGCAAGTATCGTCGGCGAATAGTGCTAGGTTGGTGGGGGTTTTTTTGGAGCATCAGCGGTGCAGAGATTGTACAGGATTGGGGCAAGGGGAGAGCCCTGGGGGACTCCCGCTTCAATGTCACGGGTAGAGGACTTGATTTTGTTCAGCAGAGTGAAAAACTTTCTCTTATGGAGGTAGCTTGCCACCCACTGAACGAAGGCTACTGGAAGTTTGTGAGTGTGAAGGAGCTTCCAAATTAGCCCCTCGTGCCATACTTTATCGAAAGCTTTTTCTATGTCCAGACAGACAACTCCAGGGGAGCATCTGTTCTGGCAAGCAATCGTGGCATCTTGAATTAGCCTGGCTGCTTGCATTACGGAGTTTCATTCATTTATGTTTTTGCATGAATCCGCACTGCTCTCGAGGGATTAATTGGTTTTCTGAAATTAGTTTTTGGAGGCGGTCGAGAAAGAGTTTTTCTGTTAGTTTGAAAATAGTGGGAAGGAGGCTGATGGGTCTCCAGTTTTGAGGAAGGGTTTTGTTTTTGGTGGGTTTGGGGATTAATACTACGGAGGCGGTTTTCCAAGGGGTTGGGAATTTCCGTAGCGGAAAGGACGCATTGATTAGGGTAAGGATGTGATTGAAGATATTTTCCGGGAGTCGTTTGAGGATTTTGTTGGTTATTTGGTCGGGAGCGGGACTTGTGCGGGTTTTAAGGGTGGCGATTAGGGCGTTAAGCTCGGAGAATGTTACGGGGGGAATTGCAGGGGCGTCAGGGGGGATTTGTTTGTCTTCGATTTCGTTGAGGACGTTGTCGACCTCCTCCTCGAAATCTAGATTGTCGTTTTCGGAAATGTTAGGCGAGAACTAGCGTTCTAGGGAGTCCGCAAAAGCTTCAGCTTTTTCTTCGTCCAAATAGACCACCTCTCGCTCACCATGTATAGGGGGAAAGTGAGTTTTTGTTTTTCCTCGCATAGCCTTGGAGATTGTCCAGGCGCGCGGGTCGCCCGTTGGGAGGTTTCCCAAAAGTTCTGTCCACCTTTCGTTTCTTAGGTTTGAGATCTGAATTTTAATTTCCTTGCTTAGTTTGTTTGCCTGTTTGTTAAGCTCTGAGTCGGTGAATTGTTTAGCCTTTCGTTTTAGCCGGTTACGATTTTTAATAAGAGTTTTGAGCTCAGGCGCAGAGAGAAGGGTTTTTGTTAGAATTTGGCTTTAGGATTGTGGCTTTTGAGAGTGCTGAGGTAATGGTTTCTGTATTTTGGTCTGTTAAGTTGTTTAGATCTTGCACATTTTGCGGAGGGTGGACAGTGATTTGAGCCTCTCCAAGGTGGTATGCGAGGGCGTCGCAGTCTGTGTAAGAAATTGGGGCTAAGAGGTTATTCGTGTACTATTCGTTGATGTCGATAATTATAGGATTGTGGTCAGAACTTAGCGAATCGGAGTTTGTAACGTGGAGAATGTGGTAGACGTCTTTAGAAATTGCAATGTCGAGAATGTCGAGGGTATTGTGGTCATAGTGTGTTGGCTCTGAGGGAGCATGAATTTCGAATTGTAAGTCTTGTGCGTAGTTGAGGAGCTTGCGCCCCTCGGCGTTTGTTTTTCTGCAGCCCCAGGAAGTGTTTTTGGAGTTCAAATCTCCAGCGAGTAATGTCGGAATGTTTCGATTGAGAAGGTTCGTGTAATCGAGTTTGGTCGTACGTGTTTTGGGTGGTTTGTAGGCCGAAATAATAAGAATCTGGGAGTTTTCCATGTTTAGGGTGACCGACGTGTGTTCGATTGAGGTGTTAGCGATGGGGGGATTTGGGGAATGGGAAATGGAGTTTTTGACAATAATGGCAGTGCCACCCCCTCGACTATTGGGGCGGTCTTTACGGTAAATTTTATAATTATTAATTTGGAAGAGAGTTTGAGAGTGCAAAAAAGTCTCCTGGATTAACGCGATGTCCACGTCTTTTTCCCGGAGGTAGCCTTCAAATTCATACCTTTTGGGATACAAAGAGTTGACGTTCCAGGAAACAATGTGGACACCGGCTGGTTTTATGTTCACGCCAGTGCTTGAAGAGCCGACTGGTTCAACTACTGGATCCCCTGTCGTATTTATGCAACCCGGCCGTGTGAGCTCATGCGTGAGGAGTGGGCGGGGCTAAATTTTTTGTCACTTCGCCCACTGTCTCATCGTCTTTGATAATGTCCACCGCAGTTGTGGCCGAAACGTCAGGAAGAAATTCCCATGGACCACGGCTTCAAAGCCCGGTAAACATTTCTAAATGTGATACTGTGTAATGTTTCCACAATAAAAAAAGTTTAAAGTAAAAGTTAGATTAATTTATTGCGCAAAATGAAATAATAGATAAATTGAGCGGAAATCTACTCAGTATCATCTAAAACAATTTAATATATCACCAGTTTAATCTAGTTACTTAGTTTAATATACACCGGTTTTATTTTTCAGAATTTTTTTCGGAAGCGGGATTTTTTCCGGGATGATACATCCTTGAACGAGTAGATACTGTAAGGTAAGTCTAACAATTTGTCCTGCAAATAGCACTTTTAACTACCGCTTAAGAAGCTCCTAAGCATTCCATAAAAAACCCTCCTGCTAAAAACCAATTTCTAAGAAAACAATTTAAAAGTGCAATATCGTTATGAAAGTCAGTGTTTTACGCGATTCGGTCGTTACAGTTTGAAGCAAGTATGAAACTTTATGTATTCGTTCTGAATAAAACACCTTTAGAAAACACATCATATCGAGTTACTTGCTTAATTGGACAATTGCAGAATCAGAAATATAAATTTAAACTTCCATTCGACTGGTTGAATTTTTCGACCGTTTTCCCACATCCTTTACATCACTAACCCCTAGAATAAATTACTTAAAGATAAAAATCTACATCCTTAAACTTACCTGAAGTACTGCTAAAGGATCGTTGCGCGGCATCACTCTGAGGCAACTCAGCTTCTTCGTTGTGTTCAAACGTTTCATTGGAAAATCCTACTAGCTGAACACCAGATTTTTTATTATCATTGGTATCTTTCTCTCGTCTGGACAAAGTCCGTGTGATTGATGCCTTAATTTGAGTCAAAGTTGTCTGATTTCCATTTACCGGCGCGTTCAGTTCCTGCCCCTTTGAACATGATTGCACAGGATTCACTTCGCCGTTATGCAGTTTCACCTGCTCTTTTTCAAAGTATTCATAGAGGCGATTGGTCCATTGGCCCACCCCTCTGATGTGCAGCCACATGTAATCTGGAAAATCGCCCAATTATCATCATCTTTGGAAATTGGGTTTGGTTTTACGCACCTTCTTGTTCAGGACAGCTGCTGATTGTGAAAGGATGCCACTCATATTTAGCAATAGCTGGGATATTAACAAAAATGTAGTCCCCAGGATGAAAGTCGAATTGAGTGGGTCGCTTGATAACAAGGTGCGTTACTTTGGATGGCAACAATAGTCCTGAGCTGATGTAAGTTTTGCCTTTATTCGACATGGAGTCCATCCTTGATATTCGCTCGACTAAATAAGCCAAGCCAGGTATAATGAACCATTTCCAAAAATTTGGTCCATGTAGTATCAGCAATATCCAGAACGGGATGTACATAAGGTGCGTCCAGTAGAAGACCTAACGAGAGAATGTTGAAATTTAAAACGCTTTGATTGTTAAAAAGTCTTCTTTACCTCAAAACAACCTCCCCTCCTAACAAAGGACTGGGAACATAAGAACATGATGAGAAGAATAATAAACAAAGCCACCCCAGTTGGATTAGCGCAGCCACCAATCAAACCAAACAACCCTGGCTTGGTTGTGAAAAGCCACTCAGTAGTTGTAAAGTTGTTGCTGTTGATTACTGGATCATTCACAACCACTAAAGCTAAATAAAAAATCAGCAAATAGTCAGGCGGATAAATTGCCCTAAAACTTACTAAAGTTGAAAGTGTGCATCAACGAATGCCAAAAACTAAGTCCAAAAATTAACCATCCAGTGACTTTATGAAAGTATATGTGTTGATCCAGGGGCAAAAGACTTCCATATCCCCTTGTTCTCAGAAAGGTTATACATCGACGTAGCATCAATACCAAAATAAAGGCGCAATCAAAGTTCAGGCATTGTCCTGCAATGTCCACATGGTCTAAACTGGATGAGTTAAAGAGCCAACTTACCACATGCTCGGGCAAATATTGTATACCAATTGGAGTTCCTGTATTGTATCGATCTGGACACAAATAAAACGCAATTGACCATAATGAATCCAAAGAGGAATATAAGGTAGATCATGTTGTTCCGAATATATGGCATGGTGAGGTAGTACGGTCTATAAGACAGAATTTTCCGGAATAGAGACTTAGATTTTGGGGTGGCTGTTGCAGGTGGAACCAACCATCGGTCTATACTAAATAAAGAGAAATTTCTATAAAAGTCGAAGAATAGAATAGACTGCAGAAGAATAGAAGAACACGCTCGGTTAATATTTTTTGTTTGTTAGGAATTTTCTTGGTTTCCTATTTAATTCCTTTATACAGGGTGTCCCCACAGGAAGTAATTTAAGTTTTCGCTTAACCGGCATTATTTGTTTCAAAATTCTCATCGTCTTATTGTAAACATACTAAACGCGTATATTAAGTTGCAGGCTTAATTAAATTACTCGATCACTATAACAATAAATCCTAAAAAAAAACTCCTCAAGAGAGAAAAGATTACATGGACAAATTTGGCTTAATTTTGGAACTGGGTAAAATCTGATTGGTGTGAGCAAGTTAATTTCTGTTTCAAGATAGTTTAAGTCTGTGTTTCTTGTAAAATTAGGCCGTGTAGATAAAGCTCCTGCAGAATGGGGGATGAAATAATGGATTATTTTTTAAGTACCTACGACTTGTCTCAATTGAACAAAAAAAGTTACCTTTCTTCCTGATTTCAATATTTTGGTAGACCTCATATCTAGAAACTATTTCCGATTCTTTCGGTATATTTTTCATTTGCAGGGTGCGCTAGGAAAACAACGTTTTGGTTTTGAGGTGCAATCATTTTTGTTCGTGCATCGATTTTCAAAATGTAAAGCTCATGTTGAAGATAAAACTCCACAGTCGACCACAAACCAAAACTGCATATGCGGGGTAGCATTGGAAGTGACCCACGTCGGAACAGCCGCCAAACATTTGGAATTCTTACAGACTTTCACTGAAAACTAAAATTTTGTTGACCTAACTTGACTATGAAGTTTTCGCTTCAAAATGAGCTCTAAATTTTATAAATCGAGTTCACACGAAAATTGTAAAACTCAAACGTAAATTTTAACATCACCCTGTAAATAAAAGTGAAAGGCAAAAAAATCAAAATCCTCTCTTCCAAAAATAAGTTTATCTTTCTGCCTTTCGAGTTGAAATAGAAACAGAGCTTTTTGGACCAAATGCCAAACTTTCCGAAATTTTGCATTGTTTCAGTTTCCATCCGGTAGCAACTCTTTCTGAACTAGTTAACTCTATCAAAAACACGAAGAGACACTAAAAAAGTTGGACTAGAGAAATCAAATCACATGCAGCAATCAAAGTGTGTCCAGTTCCAAATTACACAAATTTTGATCCATAACGTCTATTTTGTTGCAGTTTATTAGAAAGCAGCAACTTAGAAAAATTGAATTCAGGAAAAAGCACGATAATACATGGGTATGCGAAGTATTTAGTATTTAGCCAAAATGAGAGGATTTTGATATTTTTGAGCTTGAAAATACGTTAATTTGGACGATGATTATGACCGCCCTGTAGTTTCAAAGACAACTGTTTTGCAAATTTGCACCAAATATTAATATAGCATTAGACCTGTCTCCTGATAAATGTCAGAATGTTGTGTCTAAAGACGACGGAGAAATATACAAAATAAATCAAAAATGAAATAAAATATAAGGTGTTCCATTAAAAAAAACGTTGATTCTTCCGCTACAACTATTCCAACGCGCTTTGTATATCTTTTAATATTTTTAAAATAATAGCGTTTGGTGCCTTTATAATTATATGATGATGAAAAATTTTGAAGCAAATAAACCCGGTTAAGCGTTAACTTAATTTACTCTACAGTTGGGAAACCCTTTAAATTTAATCCTTTAACATTTTGGCTTTAGATAGTTCTTTCAATTTGATTAGTCAATTATACCAGTTATATTGAACAACAGAAAGTTGAATCGAGAAACCAATAAATCTAGCAAAGCTGCAAAGGACTCTAATTTTCACATTTTTGAAGAGCAATTAATTAAGTTTTCGGCATAATCAGAGCCGCCAAACATTTTGGATGTAAGTAAGTCCAAAGTTTGAGGCCACAAAATATCCCCCTTAAGAGGGATGTTCACTGGCCAGAAAATACACTCCCGAACCCCGTACTTTATGTCTGCACCACTGTAAAATACATGAGCTGACGACAGCTGAGAGGCTTGAAACTGGTCCTGGGGGTGCCTGATATTAACAGCACATTTTTGCATTGTCCATAATTTACCATCGGTTTACCGGTTGGAAAAATTTGTAAATACTTCAAGAAGCTAATTGGCGGTAAAAATCTAAAGCAAAACTACCTTATAGATAAGTTCTCCAATAAGCCCCCATGTTTTTCCAGCTGACTTTTAAGGGCCTCATAAGTGATGGCACCCCGATTGTTAGTGTCCGCATCTTCGAACAACGCCACAGTTAAATCTTCAATTTGTTCTTCGCTAAATTGCATTCCGTTCTCTTCCATACAGGCTCGCATTACATGCTGCAGTTCCTTGTGCTGAATCAGACCATCACCTCAAACAATACGAAAAATCATTTCATACCAAACATTTTAGTTCGTTGAGTGTTTGCTGGTGAGAAATTGCTTACCATCAATGTCGTAGACTTTGAAGAGGAAGCGAATTTTATCGTCCGGACTTTGTCCAGCGAATTGATGCATTGCATCGAGAAATTCCTGTAGGGAAATCGATCCGGAGTTGTCCTTGTCGAATATTTGGAACACCCTTTCGGTAAAAAAGGGCTTAAAAATTAGCATAAGTAAAAATCTAGATTAGTGTTGGAGAGAAAGAGTGGAAATGGTGCCCATCTAAGAACAAGAATCGCCGTGTATTGTGGGGGATTCTTATTTTTAACTTTTGGACGCCAGAAAGGTGTAATTTCCCAATAACAACTTACATTTTTCGACATAACAATCTTTTGAAAGTCATCCCTTTTAATCTCCTTTTCATTCCCAACAGTCTGTCTGAATAGTTGTTCCAGTCTATTCAAGTTTGCTTGGTCAATGCCAGTGCGCGGCCTGCAAATTTAAAGTTTGCGTCTTTTACAGAATAGTTTAAAGAGGCAAAATTGAAGATTAATATTTAGACCCAATGAATTTTCATAGTAAAAGAGGTATTTTTCGATTGATTTCCTACCGTGCGTTAGTTATTGTTGCCAGAAATTCCATTATTTGCTCTGATGTTACCGTTCCTTGATTATTCTCATCCAATAGTCGAAATAACTTATCGCTTATCTAAAAAGAGCGCAAAAATTACCGATGATTCTTTTTATTATCTATTATATTCAAGCATTTTGAAAATTTTTTATTTTAAGCATAAAAGTATATGAGCTTAAACTGGTGAGAAATGGTTCAGTTTCAAAACCTTTTACTTTACCCCTTTTGCATTAAAAATCTGGTAAAACTGATGCACTTTGATCGGTTCATCTCCACAAAGGCAGAAGGCTACACTTTCTAATTGCTCTGCAAAATCGATCTGTTTTTCATTTCTGAAAAAAATACAGAAAAAATGTTATAATTGTTAAATTATATACATATACTTAAGCACTAGTCCTAATGTTTCTTAAGTAATTTTGTGAAATTTTGCAAGGTTTGAATGATTATTAATTTAAAAATCAACTCATTTATTTGATGATCAAAAATAATCAATTGACACAATTTTTTGCTTGGTTAAACTGTTCAGCAAATTATAAAACCATTTTTAGACTTTTTTTAGAATTTTTTGTAGCTGGACTTTTAGATATAGATATTTAAATGTTACTTTTAATTTTTCACAGTAATTAATGTATTTTGAACCATTGAATCCTCAATAAGTGAGTGCACGTCATCTGATTTAATCTGATTTAATTTGAAACTGTTTAAAGTTGATTGCATTTTTGTTCTGTACAGTGGCAAATTAAATAAATGTTTAAAAGAAATTCATAACTTTCTAATACAAGCTTAATAAACATACAGAACGATTACTTTATTGAAATAATTTGCACTAACTGCTTTAAACATAGAGATTTACAATGCAAATGAGAAAATTTAGAAGTGATGAAACAAATAACTGTGGAATTCAAAACTGAAAACTTGAAAACAAAAAAATAATAATTTTCCTACCGTTCAAATAGCTTCCGATGGGAAATTATACAAATTACTATAGAAAACAAACAGTTTACTAGACGGACAAGAACTATTTCGAAATTTATTAAATTAAATTAATTAAAATATTAAAATTGAATGTATAATTCAGAACCGAAAAGCAATCAAGTTCAAAAATTAGTAAAAAACTGTTTAAAGTAGGTGTTAAATTGTATTCATTAACATCATATAACTGCCGGAACCAAGCCTCTCTTTGCACATTTTTGAGATGTTATTTGTTGAATTTTTTCTTCCTCCTGTCATTAAAGTACAGAATTAGATTTGACATAAATTGTGTATTAGTAATAATTGATTTTAAGACCATTTGTCGCAATACTCCGGATAATTCTGAAACTTTATATGTTTACTGTCTAATTATTTTTTACATTTATTCTATCAGATTTTTCAACAGTTTTGGAGTAATCGCTGTATTTTTGGCCAGTTTAGCACTTCGTTTTCTGTTATCCTTGTCATAATCGCTTCCGACCCTTGGTTTATTTTGTGTGGAGAATATTTTCATTTTTTTGCCTTAGTTCTTCTTTACGTTACGTATGTTTTTCTAGCCATTTTCCTCGCTGTTTCATGAAATGTTTAGTATTTATTTTATGTTTGTTTGTTTCAAGCAGTGTTTTCTTTGAGCGGCATTGATTGACTGCAATGATCCTATTTTGATTCTCGGGATTTTTTGTTTGTATCTACGTCATTTTAGTTGTTTTCTTCAATTTTTGGTTTTTGTCAACATTTCTTGCTGCTGTTTCTAAGCACAAGTTGATTTAATTCTGTCTTCCCATTTAGTAGTATCCTTTCTCTAATCATTCTAAGGTTTAGACAGTAAGCTCTAAATCCCCAGAAAAGATTTATAAATAATCTGCATTTTTTCAACTCGTGAATTGTTCCCCAGCTTCTCCCAATGACATGTTTTGCTCATTTCTATTCAGTCTCTTAAAGTAACGGTGAGATCGTAAGATACAGAGAAAATTATGGACCTATTCCGTCGCTGAAGTTTTCGAATTTTTAAAATGTTTGTGTCATTTCTCTCAGCCTGTGTAGTAATTGCACCTGTAGGTTTCAGTCCTATCTCAATTCTCCATCTATTTTCGTTCCTTTTAAATTAATACAAGATCCCACTGTAAATTAAAAGCTCCGAAATATCTTAGACTAGAATTTAAAGGCAAATTGCGTACAAGTGGTTATGCTAATATATGTAATTCCATGGATGCATCTTCGTGCAAGTTAAAAATGCATTACTAATTTATAATGCGCTGTTACCTAACAATGTGTTGCATGCATTATGTATTATGTTCTGTCACGGTTATTGTCTACCTAAACTTAATTGTTTTGTCTTCAATAAAGTTAACACATCGACGTCGAAAGGTTGCCAGGCTAATGAATATCGATACTTCCATTATCTGAACCATTAATACATGCTAACAATCTGACAACAGACGATTATATGCAAATATTAAATTGCCAATAAATAAACTTATTATTACCTGCCCCGATGCAGTAGATTAAAATCTATTTACATTATTAGTATGTGCAGTTGAGAATGTTTTGTATAATAACATAATAAGCCGAACCTGACGTTATAATGAGGAATGATGATGGATGAATGGTGGATTTTTTATTTCATTTTATGACCTCTTTAAACAAAATTGCGAGACAACAACTCTTTTAAATATGTTGATTAGCAATAACTTACGCCAGGCGTTGCTTGAGGAATTCGATCCAATTTTCCTGCGGCAGACTCTGGGTCCTGTCCTGGTCGAATAACTTGAATGTTTGTTCCAAAAGATCCTGCAAAAGAAGCCAAAGTATTTTAATTGCCCTCTTACTGCACTAGGGAAACATGAATGTGAGCTAAGTGTTTGCATTCTGACCACTACAAGCTTTTGAATTTGTTTACTACATATACATCAAGACTTTACCAAAATACCAAAATAAGCAGTAATGTGGAATCTCTAAATGTCAGAGAAGTCTGCAAAGTAAATAACTCTTGGTCCCAATAAAAAAGAATTGTTGAAATACTTTCAATGTTCCTACAGAGTGAATTTTACTGACTGGATGGTTTGGAGCTTCGGGTGGTCGATACCATAAAATATCTCGTAAACTCCAAGAACATCGAGGTATTACTACTGTTTTATGTTCCTATTGATAGCATCTGTCTTTTAAGTATTGTTCAAGACAACGAAGGTCTCGCAGAACTAATGAATGATGTTTATATCAATTTGCAACCCGTAAAGATAAGATATCTTGCAAACAACAAGCCATATTCACAAGACGATTTTTTAAGACAAGACACTTCTGAATTTTATCGTTAAATTATAGTTGAAATATGACTTGCGGCATCGAGGATATAAATTACTTGAAGATTAGTTATGCTATCTGCCATTACTGGACTTTCTGGAATTGCAAATACTGACAGCCTGCACTAGATACGTCCACTAACATATCCACTTTAATGGACTCGAGTTATTGAAGGTTTTGCATTAAATTTAATATTTATTATAATACTCGAATGGTTGCACACAGCGTGGTTTTATTCGCTCAGTAACATAACATAAATCGCATAGCATGTTTCATTTTTTAAATTATTTAAATGGAGCTGTTGGTTTGCGTTAGGCTGGGCTAATGAGGTGCATTCTACACAGAGTGTCCTTTGAATCGCCTGCCAGACGTTAAAAGCGTATTCTTTAGTCAATTTTACAACATCTAAGGTGTTTTTGCCTACTAACCAAAACTAACCCAAACTAAGCTTTGGCATTCGAGTTACACATAACTATGTAGAAAACTTTTAATGCAGTACAGTTATTTATGTATTTTTTTAAATTGTTTCAGTATTTCTTTTTTCAAGTAAGGCTTCACATAGCTGCAGTGAGTAGGTTATAAACAGAAATAGGTAGGATTATAACAATGAAGTTGGTTGAAGCATATTGAAAAATTAAGTGACGCGTACACGGTGGCTGAAAAAGTATGATGCGTTTAAATATATTTGCAAACGTTTCATGGCGCCAAATTTAGTTGCTTTAAAGCGACTTTGCAATCGTGCAAAAGCTCTTGAATCTCGCAGATTATCTTTTCTTGTATCAATTGAAATAGATGAATATAAAAAAAATTAATGAAATAGAAATATAGATCGGCTTTAGGGCTAGAATTATTTTATATTTTTTTTATTTTGTATTTTTGGTTCTTAAAAATTACAGATTTGAATCCCAATTTTTGTAAAATAGATTGTTCCTAATGCAGAAAACAGCCAAAACTTTATAAAGTTACTGTTTCAAAATAAACTATCAGTTTTACTAATTTCCTAAGATTTCTGCAAACGCAAAAATAATAAAAAATGTGTAAATTTTCTAAAATACATACGGTATTTAAAGTATATTTTTACGGTAAAGACAACAATAAATTATTCTCCAAATTTGGCTATCTTGATTGATCTACATTTCAATGGAATTTTGATTATCTTTCAGGCTATTTGATAATCATCTTCTAATTTAAAAAAACTGTTTGTATAATGCAGAACAAGCTTTTCCAGCTAAAAGTAATATAAAGTAATTTCGCATGTTACATCCAAAATTTCAAGTTTTTTCGAATCCAGATATCACAGTTATAAGCAGTAAATTAGTGCTATGTTGTGGACCAAAGTTGGGAAAATTAATTACTAGAAATTAATAATAAATTATCCCCCAAATCGTTTGAGCTTGGTATAGGAAAGTATTAGACGAAAAGTTGGCAGCCAGGTAAAAATGTTTTTTCTTCGATTATAAAAAATATAACTACTTATAACAATGACGAAAGTAGCAACATTTCTATAAACGACAAATAATTTCCTCTTCGTGTTCGTATTTATGAGAAATCAAAGTGTAAGCTGCAGGCAGAGTTGCTCCAAATAGCTGCACAATAAACGTCCGAGAATTTTCACTTGTTCTCCAACAAGTTAAGCACAAATACATCAACAAAAAGTCCCAAAAAACTATTAATCTTGAACACTCCACGTACATTCCTTATTAATCGGCTTTACAAATTAAGCAGAGTGTTTTTAGTGAACATAATTAGTAAAACGTCCTATCGAAAGCCTGTTATTATAGCCATGATTATATATTGAGATACCCATAGCCTGTTCTAGGATATTTTTTTCCTATCTCGACGTTACAAGATGTATCAATACAGATGCGGAAAACAGATGAGATTCTGGTTCCATCCGTCATAAATAGCCTCTATAATTTAGCGTTTTTACATGTATATTACACGGTCGTAAATCAAAGAAGTTATAATGGAAACTATTAAAGGGGAAAGAAATGATTTTACGCTCCAGTTCAATTTCATTGCAGCCTGCAATTATGTTTCTAATTCCCTATTTAGTTCACATCAATTTGGGAGCCGTTTTTGTCCAAACTGTTAATCTATGAACATTTTTACACGAGACAAAGAAGCTTCCAATAAATATATTTTATTTAGAAACTTTTTGTTGTGACAAAATACTTCATGGAAAGTTTTTTTTTCACTAAATTCTAGTGCATTTAAAACATTCGTCGTGCAACTCAATAAGAGCTGTTTGAGGAAAATTGAGAAAACTGTCTAGGAAGACCTTTACTACAGCTATAGCGTACAAATTTTCTGACAATATATATTCCTATAGAGACTCGATGTAAAAATTCTAATAAAAATACATCTAATAAGGTATTTTTTTTTAATCTTGTAAGGTATATAAATACACATTTAAATAAAGCAAAACGTGATTACTAACTGAACCTCTTCAAAAGATAATTCTCAATTGAAGTATTATCAATAAACTTACCATTTTATGTTATTCGTTAGCCGCATTATACATATTGAACAAATGAGTTTTGTTAATTTTATTAGCAACTGATTCACGCAAAGTGTTCGCTTATATTAATATGAGAAGTAAGGAGTAAGCAATAATTCCCATTATTGCAATTATATTGTTTATACTTATATCACGGTGCATCATATCGAATTGTAAACTAGGAACAGGAAATAAGTTCCGTTTGTTTAATATTTTCTTATTAAAGTGAAGAACCATAAATTTATGATAATTTAATCAAATTAATGACGTAAGAATGCTGATTTAAATATGCAACATTCGGTAATGAATGTGAAAATAAAGTGATCGTACTCAGGCCTGATATGATTAGTTTGAGCACAGCAGTGAATTTCATAACATTTTGAATGGAAAGAATCATCTTAAATTGACCTCTAGACATGTGGAATTTTTTTGAACAAGACCTAAGAAGGCAAAATAGAAAGCATCAAGAACATGTGCCAATTTAATTATAAATCATTCTCATTGGCTAATAACAGCAATTAAGCATCGCTAAAAACTCTTTATTGAGATACATAAAATTGTGCCTATAAATTATCAGGAACATAATCAAACACTCCATTTATGGATGCCACCCGATAGTAATTATCAATTAAATTAAAGCAATTAATTATTATGGCTTGTAATATACCTTTATAAATACTTTGAAGGCTCAGAATAGCGCCTGCGATAATCATCCAATTATGCAACTAGTGCTGATATAATTAATATCGAATTTGTTGCGGCATTGGCACAAATTGCTTTGATTAATTATGGTGTCCGGTGCATTGGACAGATTTATGTCCTTCTCAATGATCAACAAAAAATATATTCTGCGTTGAAATGTGTTTTTTTTAAGAAATAACCGAAGAAATTGTGGATTTTACTGAAACAGCCGAGTTAAGCCTACATTTTTAGCAATAATTCAGTATTTAATTGCCTAGGATCTTTCCTTCACTGGCTGAATAGTGTTTTATTAAAGCGCTTTGCAACTGAATATAATTTGCAGTATTTCCTAGTTAATTTAGCTTTTTTCCGCAAATTAATGCAGAAAGGACGTAACTGTATGTTGTTTTTCTCCAATGAGATTCTCATTAATGTGAGTACCTATCTTGTTTTTTATCCTACCGAGACAGTTTCTCCAGGCAATTAAACCTGAACTAACGACGTGTGAAACATCAGCAGGAGGGTAATTTAAATAACAATTACAATTTTCCATTTATTTAAACAGGCTGAAAAGCGCAAATCAAATAACAAGAAATTAGATTATGATTCGTCAATTACCAGCTCACCAAGCAAGAACAGGCTGCAAGCTTTTAAGTGAAACGGTCAAGAAATCGACACATTAAAAAAAAACGTTTTTTCTCAACTGGCTCGTTTTCCCAAACAAGCTGCCCACTTAGTGTGTTTTCAGCAAAAAGCGACCGCAACTGGAAAGCGCTTTTTAGCTTTTATGGCTTCCTTTACGAGGCGGAATTTGTTATCTGATCGTGTTTAATCAGCTCACAATGCTACACCATGAATTGCAATCGATGCTTAACAATAAGAACCTGAACAGTCTGAGCTCTTGTTAAAATACTTTCAATTTTTTTCCTGCATAGATTACAGTGAAACACTTTTACCGTAAACTCGTTGCATGTTGCAGATCATTCTCCAGAGTTCAATATCATCGGTAAAAGACATTGACGGACATTATCGGATCTGCGATCAATAAATTATTCAGCAAAGTTACGCATATCAATAAGTACCTACTAGTTAACACATTAAGTTGTGATAATCATCATCGAATGTTTAAAGTCTCATGCGTTGTAGCCTGATGAAACTGAACGCAATTGAAATCGAAAAAACAATGTTATATTATATTAACTTGGAATGTTCTATATCTCCATAACGAGCACTAACTCATGAACAAAGTATCAGAAAAACACTACATCAAAGGCTATGCCATCAATAACCATCATCATCTGATAACGAA